TTTGATTCACCATTCCTGTGTATGTGACTTCAGGGTCCACTCCTCCTCATAGACTTGTCGTGTTCCTTTTTCCCAGGTACAATCTGTTTCAAGGGCGAGTATCCGAAGCCGTGACCTTCTTCAGTACAATGGGGTCTGCGGCATGTCCGGTGTCATACAACCCAGCTGACTACCTGATAGATTGTGTGGCCCAGCATGAGTCCCAGGGGGAGAGCGGCCGTAACCATGGTAACGGGCCCGATGCACCTGATGCACCCACACGTGGGGCCGACAGGACACCCTTGCTCGGTGCAGAGGGGCAAGAGGAGGATGACCAGAGTGAGCGTTATGCGTATGTGTTTGTGTGGCTCGCCTTAGGGCTCTGTAGCCACTGTGTGGGGGGCGTTTGTTCGGATGGTGTACTGTTGTTGCACATCTGTGTGTTTGCTATGTGATAGGTTTAATTGAGTACCTTGTGTCATACGTACACAATACGTCTGTTTCGGTATAGTTAAGTGTCTTTCCGTCATAGTACGTTTGTTTCACTATAAATAAGCACCATTCCTACACAATACGTCTGTTTCGCTGTAGTTTAGTTAGTGTCTTTCCTTCATAATACGTTTGTTTCACTATAGTTAAGGGCCTTTCCTACACAATGCGCCTGTTTCGTTATAGAATTTTTTTTTCTTCACAATACGTTTGTTTCATCATAGTTATTTGTCTTTCACTGCTTATACTTAGACTTTTTACCTGTATCGTGGTTGTCTTTCGTTCCTCATTCTAGTTCTGTCTCCCCGCTTTATTATAGTTATATATATATTCCTTTCCACCTGTTGCATACCGTGGTGTCTTCCATCGTACACGGTCACGTGTGCGTGAGCGTCTGACTATCTTATTCCTATCTAACTCCTGTCATAAACTCTCATTCATATCACACTTTTGTCATAAACTCTCATTAATATCACACTCCTGTCAATATCTCATATATATCACACTCCTGTGGGAAATGTAGCACATCGTCTGCGCGGGGGCTTACGCAACCTGCGTGTGCATAGCGTGCCTTTGGGAGTGGGAGAGTGACTGTAATGTGTGGCGTTGCATGGTGCGTCCACACATTCAATCAGAGATTGTGACTATATCATATGTAGTGTATCCATCAGCGGATTGGCTGGCGTGTAGGTATAATACGTATTCTCGGAGTAGCCGAAGGTTTAGGTCATCCAATGAGATTCATTCTACGTTAAAATTCACCAATCGGATTTGCTGCGGCTTACAATTCACCACTTGTATAAAAAAAATCTCAGCTCTGCCGATGTGGCTGTGACCTTCGACGATGTACCTTCGGATGTGTACAATGTCTGGACAGTGGCACAGCACTACAACGCAAGTGACCACTGCAAGACAGTCCAATCGCAAATCAGGGCGGCCCTACGGTGTGCAA